AGCCTAAGTAAATTATTGGATTATCCACTGTCAGTATTTATTCCGCCGTTTAATCACGGGGTCTTGTGGGCGTTTAAATCTCTCAATGTTCTCACAACCGTTAGCTATATCAAGACATAAGAAACGTCCCTTTCGTCAGTCGAGCACACAGACTATCAGTTAAGGACACTCTTGTATTTTTCATGTGGGCGCCCAATGGGTGTTTTTCGGGGAGTTCAAAATATTTAGATTAAGATTGGGTGTGTCCTTTTGACATTAATATACCATACTGTAATTGGAAATAACCACATTATAAATATTTTCGTGGGAATGTATCTTCGCACTGACCACCTTTTCGTAAATATAGACTATACATCAATCTGATTAAAATACAGATCCATATTTCGTTTCGTTTTTTTATACTTTCGATGGCCTACACTACATGAAGATCTGACAAGTTATAGCGATAGGTCACGTCAGTTGTCAAAAGACCGACTTATGACCCTATGATGTCAGACATTTGATTAACCAATCAGCATTGATGTTACTAGTGGATTACCCACAGTTCCGTGCAAAACACGCCTAAAGCTCGCCGTAACAGGCCGTTTCATTGGCTTATCCCTGACACCATTCAGAACACGAGTTAAATAAAAACTCTTCCAGATCCAAGTGTAGTAAAGACAAGTAAAACGAAATTTTGAACTATAAAAACGAAACGAAATAGGATCTGTGTTTTAACCAAATTGACTATAGAACAATTAATACCAAAAATTTCTTTATGTAGAACCACTTCGTTTACATGAATGAAAGCTGCGATGAGGGTTCTAATTCATAAATCATCTGGAACGATAATGAATGAATGATTCTTAATCCAAAATCCCAGCTTGATAGTCTTTCACTTGCATATAAAGCGTCAATCAGTGGTGGCATTACAATCTCTTTAGAAAGATATTAAATCTGTCCCCCTTTACCATGTATAATTGACATAGAGTTCAGAAGGGTTGATGGCAGCCCACGTGGTGCTTTCTGATATATTACTAGAATTGATGGTCTTCTTATTGAATTTGCTACTATCAACGAGAGTGTCGTTAATTAGAAGCCTTCTTTATATTTCCATCTGACCGTAAACAAGCTTTGGAAGCTACAACGTACAGTGTCCCGAAACCCTTCATCGCCTTTGGTGCTCTCTATTATCATTTCTTTTACACCTATTTACAATCGCCGATCATTCCCAACATCTATTTGCCTCATTAAATTTTGAAGAAGAATGTGCAGAATAATTACATATTAAGTTATAGTGCTGAAGGGTATTGGTCTAGGATTAAAGTTCTCGGCAAGAAAATAATACGTGTTCTTCGGGTAATTACTTTCTATTAAAAAAAATCTCCGTGATTTTAAATTTCCTAGTATAGGTCAGTACGTCCCTGTCAGTTCCTGGGTACTCCAAACTGTGTTTCTTCAATCTGATTTAGTGCCGCGCAGTTCCAAATGTATTTTATATATCAAAATTTCAAAAATAACCCGTTTATGCTTTGACTTTTAAACCTCAAGACGCGCCTAGTCTATACATTGACGTTAAAGCGACAGTCATTCTCGTGAAGTAAATAATTTTGAATATGACATTAGGCCCTTTCTTATTACTGACAATCTAATTGTTGTCTTTTATTACAAAATGTTATCTATTTTGTTTGATAAATAATCACCAAGATATGTTCCTTTACCCCCAAGATAACGACAATGCTTTACCCTGCTCTTGGTGAAATCAATAAAAATAAAAATCAGTTAATCAAACATTTATTAAGTATTGAAAGATGATAAAAAAAAATTATTTTATAAGAATTTAACTTGCACCCTTAGAAATGAGGTTTAACGTCCTGTTCTGCTCTGACGGGGCCAATGAAAACGGAACGCCATTAGAAGAGGTGGCTCATCTCTCAACTCCGTGAAAACCACTTAAAAAGGGCACTACTCGTCAATTACAAAATTACCGTATATCTCGCCGATAGCTATAGAACAGAGTCCGTATTCAAAGGAAATACTTCCTGAACGTTAAGGGTAAGTTGTATTCAAAGGCAATGTTAAGTTTCAAATTTGTTTAACTTAAATTGTTTAAACTTTTAGTGGTATTGATGTTATAGGGCCTCGTATAAGGTTACTAATACCGATCATTTATTATGTTCGTATTGCATAATCATCTTTCCGAGACTGTCACAAAATAGACTTTGGTGCATTAAATTCATTTTAAAAATTTGACATTGTTATGGTATTTCATTGTAGATTTCAGAAAAAAAATATACTACCATGAGAAATGGGCAAGATTTCTTATTATAGCTCATTCCCAAGCATACTATTTGAGATTAGCTGCGGATTGGAAGTAGTATTGTTTGCAAAATATTCTTCTCTGAGTATGTATATAAATTTACAAATATATGATGACGACTGCTGACTGAAGCGTGACCCCAGTGTTTTACAATTAAGTTTTTGTTTTACTTATTGCGTTTTAATACATAGCATTTATTCAGGTATAATAACGCCCTTTGGATCTTCCGTCCTTATTTATAGTCGTAATGTATAGTCAACGCCAGGCATTTGGGATTCTAAAGTGTAGGCACTGAAAGAATATCTATGAATTTCACAAAATAATAGATTGACAAACAACCCTGCATCATGCTGAATGATTTGTTCAGTTTAACATAAAAGCCAAAAAGGCTTCGCGTATTGGTCAGAAGATGTTTTCTATTTGTTACACATTGTTAGAATAACAAAGTTTACAAAATACGGACCTAGATTGCCTGCGATCTAATTTGAATTTTCCCTATGTAAGTCGAAAATATGTTTTTACCAACCGGCAGATAAAGCTTAGAACCCTAAAGCACTTGGACATAAATCTATTTAGCAGTTGCGCTCTCGGGGAAATTTTGCTAATTTAAAAGCAAAATACTTTTTAATTACTCTTATTGTCCACAGCTTACACTAATTTATCTTTTGCATGGCAGGACTTTGTATTCCTACTCCAGGGAAGCTAGTGTACCATGTTTTGTTGTAATAGCCCAAATACCTTGTCTGCACTAAACCAATACGTTTCTATTTTTAAAATGATATATTTTTCTTCGTGGGAATTTTTAGGGTTAATTAAGGATTAAGACCAGTAAATATTTCCCCGACTGATTTGTTTCGTTCTGATATATAAGTATTTAAAATAAAATTATAATATACACTTAATATAATTCAATTTAATTCAGAATATTTGTTTATCAACTTTAAGTAGCAAATACGATGCTTGTTAAATGTTAGTTGAATAAAACTATAATGATACAACAACCAGACGGTCATTTAGCGTACACTATTTTTTGCCGTTTTAAAACTATAGACTAGTGTCATCCAGTGTTCGTCTCCCATGCCAAATAATATCGACGCCATCTGAAGCTCTGAATACACGCGTTTTATAGGCTGTTTATTCGGCTATATTATTAAAAGTAGTTTAAAACGCTCACGAACGCTCTTCTCTCCTAACATCGCCGCCTTTCGAACTCAAACTATGGCTGTCGAGGACAGAAGAGATTGGGGAATTTACGTTAATCGTGGGTAACAAAGGCTTTCCGTAACATCTGAGTATTGTTTTCTTTAATGCCAACCGTGTCATACTGAATGATTCTTCAGTTAGATTGTATTACAATGGTTTACATGATCATCACAATTTCAATTCCTAATAGATGTTTGATTTAACCAATTTCTTTGCTGGATTTCTCCAAGAGCAAGGATAAAGCATTTTAATTATCTTGAAAGCAAAGGAACACATCTAAGTGATCATTGATCGAAAGAAAACGAATACCGAGTGATCGTGTTTCTTGTATAACATTATAATATAATAGTTTCTTTGGAGGACTTCTTTAAGTTGTGTTTCTTCCATTATATCAGATGTAATATAGGTTAATGTTAACACCGCTCCTTACGGTTACTACTTTGACGTTAATTTTTAAGTCAACCAGCAGCAATGTCACCAGTGCTCTACAATCAATGTCAACCAATTCTAAATATATCATAAAGAGCGCTCTCTCCTGCATAACATTCACAAACTTAAAAAAAATCGAACTGTGAACAAAAAGTTAATCCCACAAAATTATGAAATATTATTATAATTTTAACATGGCTCTACCTTATGTTCCAATGGCCAATCCCACCAAAGTTTAAAAACTCAAGGCAGTGATTATCGGAAACAGACTTCTTCGTCTTACGAGCTTAAACACTGTGTATAAATTTAAAGTTTATAGGATATTGACATTCGCCTCTAGACCGTCGGCGACGACAATATGGCCACAGATTACCAATAATTTCCCAATTGACTTTAATGTTAATTCTCGTCTCTTTGATCGGCTGTAACTTTTTCCCAAATTTTCGTTGGGTAGAACGCTTTCTACACAGATGGAGCAACATGTGGGACCTCTTGACCACGAGCATGTATGAGGTTCATCATGAAAAACTTAGAGATACACAGAAGTAGTGACAAGTAAACATGCAATTTTCCGCCCTACATTTCAACCTTACCAACCTCTTAACTCCTGTATCCTTCCACCTCAAAATCATGAATATTCACCAAAACCTGGCAGAAAATGTATATTCAGACCTTTTTCTTCAATTCTACACCAAAAAGCCAACAAAGATCGCTATGCAAAAGGGGGAAAAGGAGAAAAGGGTGGGGGGCTAAAAATAGCTTTGGCACTTGTTTCGTGGGCCGTCACCCCAAATTTTAATGTGGGCGTATAGGAATATGGTATAAATAGGAATGTACCAAATACTATAATGTAGGCTTTAAGATAATCTGGAGTATTTGTCAATGAAACCTTACCTCAAGTCATATCGTCTTATGAAATCTATGTGTAAACGACCGTTCCATTTAGCAGCAGGGTCGCAAAGACTATTATGGATGATAAGGGAGTCATAACCGATCTCAATCAATCATTCATGCTGTTTCTCTCATGGCCATTTTTGAAATTAATTTTATGTACGCTTTTATTTTATAGGTTATGTATTAGCTGATACGAAGGTTATACCTAGATGCACTGATTTCCCTTTTAAATCGAGAAGGTATGTGTAACTATAAATTAATTAATACAAGAACAACCATCAACAATCCATGTTTAAAATGACAAAACATTTGATTTGGGCAAACAAGAAAAGTGTAATTTAATTAAGTATGATGTGTTGATATTAATTTGCTTTGTGATGTTGTATTTCTACATTTAAAATGATAGATTCCCAGTCTGAGCCAGTGTTGATATAAAAAATTGATTTTGTGTTCAACAATCGACAGCTTAAGCCAAAAACGAAACTAAAATTAGGAAATAATCCGAAGATTTAGTTTAGAGTTTGTATCGTAACTAAATGGAGAGACACACCTTTAATGTAATGCTCACGAACCGCTTACAGTTTCCGACCCTTAAAAACACTCTTTCGTGAAACCGACCTCCTTATTCAAAAACAATTACCATTTGTTAGATATCAAACCAACATTTGGCACCAATTTTGAATATAACGTTATTGGCGTTACCGATAATACTGACCGATGAGGCTTTAAGCAAAAAGTAATAATGAAATGAAATGGAGTTCAACGTCCTACTGTTCTGTTCGGAACTAGACTAATGAAGACGGGCATACGCCATACAGTGTTCTATGTGGGAAATTTTGCCCGGACAGCGGCACTACGACCTACTCTTATATCGAATTCCAACTGTCAAGGGATCTTTTACGTGCACGCCAATGTGTACACGCGACCTCGGTTTTTCGTTCCATCCGAACGACTAGACAGCTGTCCTTGTCAGGCCCTCCGTCCTGCATCACCGACAAGGGGAAACCACGCCGGAAAATCTAGATGAACTTTCTCGGCCAATTCAGTGGTCGAACACCCGATTTCCAGGATAGCGAGCTAGCATCCAAAAGTAATAAACCATAGACTGCTAAAATCCTGAAAACTACGACCCTAAAGTCCGCCTCATACGGGAGCGCGTAAGGTAGTGCGTACGGTGACTCAGTGGTGACGCCAAAGTGATACAGCGTAACGCCTACGCAACAGGTGCGTCAGATGATGCGACCATAGCGTCGCCACAAGTGACTTTTGGTAGTCAGTTGCCGCAAAGTGCTTTGGAAACCTGACGCATGTAATGTGCCTGCGTCACATCTCACTGAGTTACTCATAGAAAATATTAATAATTTTTACTCTGGCGTTACTTTATGATTAAGCGGATTTTGGCAAAATTTTGGACATTGTAAAGGTGTTGCACAGAATAGTGAGACAGGCTTTATAGTGTATATGATCAGAATTCAGATCCCCATTACTTTCTCCTTAAAATCCATGGATAAATAACATTATTTGATTTAATTATGATGAGATTTCCCCCTCACCAAAAACTTGCAGCTAAAAATCACATTTATCTGGTTCGGCCCACGGCCTAACAGTGCAAGTCTTACAAATACAAATTGGGGACGGACTGATATGAATCATGGTTCAATTTGCCACATATCAGAGAATAGATAGATATTAAATTGAATGAATCCCCACTTCTATGAGGGGGAGTTCTTTTAAATTGCGTATGTAAAGTTGGTGAGCTAGTTGTATTAGAGAAACTTTACTTTAACTAAAAGGTCTTGAACATAATCTCAGTAGACTTAATAATCTAACTCTCTTTATCATGATTGCTATGGAAACTCATTTTTGGGACTGCAAACTTGATGCTGAAAATTGTGCTATAAAGAAATCCGCATTGTTCTAGAAATCATAGATAGATCGAATGATTTTACTACCGTTTGAAGTATGGTATTTTTAAAATGTTGGGTTGGGCTCATTTCTTGGTTTAGTTGATAGTAAGTCGACCATAACGCAAAATCAACTACATGTACTACGAGATGCTTGACTCATTCCTAGTTGCTTATTGTCGACATAGTAATAGTTCAGCGTGTTCTAATTCCAAATTATTGACTCAAATTGGTGGGTGCTTAAATTATATATTCAGACGCCAAACCTTTTAATTTGATATTCAACAACGCTTTTCGTAAAGTTAAGAGTGATACGCAAGTAAAATCTTTACAACTCGTAGTTTTCCACAGATATGTCTTATTTTATCGTGCATAATGTCATGGTCATAATACAGTCTTATTTCATCAAGAAAACGTCTATTTTGATCATTTCACGGAGCTAACATCATAAAGTGCCTATATACCGACGGTCGAATATTATCCCTGTGATCAATTCTTTTATAAAAATAATAAATATGTTTTGACATGGAAACGTACTCTACATTGACAAAAATCTTTTGGGATTGTTTTAATGTGTATTTTAAGGTCTATTTTTATGGATCGACTGAAACTGCTCACGGTATAGCTCTGAAAATAAACAAAGATGGTTAAATTTGCCATAAAACTAATATTCGTACAACTAAAATAAAAAAAACAAACGTAATGAAATGAAATGGGGTTTAACGTCCTACTGTTTTGCTCCGAACTGGGCGAATGAAGACGGGCATATGCCATACAATGTGCTATGAGGGAAATTTTCCCCGGACACCGGCACTACGGCCTACTCTTATATCGAATTCCAACTGTCAATGGATCTTTTACGTGCACGCCAAAACATAATAGCTAGTTACCATATTGTATATGTCATAGTCGGTTTGTTTTGAAGCTGTTGATGACAAATGTAACTGCTCGCGATTGGCCATGAACTCTGATGAAATAGGATAGAAGCCCTTTCGAGGAAACGAGTACTAATTGACAATGATTAACCATAACATATTCATTGCATGTGCTTCACACACGCTTGCTTTTATAAAAAGTCTTCCGGTAACTGTTCAAGGTTTCCAGAGTAAAGTCCCATTTACACCTCCCCGGTGTTTGACTCCGATGGACATACAGTGATCAATCCGAGGCCAAAAGTGGGCATGTGTGGCGGTGAGACCGCAGTGACCTGTGTCGAACCGTACGTCGCTATGGTGGTCTTAATGTTTGAAACTACCGGTACGAAAAGTGGCAAAAGAACAATCCTTGGTGGCATAGTAGCACCATTGTAATTAGTTTGGAGGCTCAGTGCGAAGGGGTGTCCATCAAATGGGCAAAAAACCAGAACCAACTTTTCTAGGGTAAAATTTTGCGTAGAATACGATGCCGAGTGGTAATCAGTCCGCCGTTGTGGCGTTTTTGAGGTCAAAGGTCAAATGAGGTCATTTGCACTGAAAGGTTTCCAGAGTAAAGTCCCATTTACACCTCCCCGGTGTTTGACTCTGATGGACATACAGTGAGCAATCCGAGGCCAAAAGTCGGCATGTGTGGCGGTGAGACCGCAGTGACCTGTGTCGAACTGTACGTCGCTATGGTGGCCTTAATGTTTGAAACTACCGGTACGAAAAGTGGCAAAAGAACAATCCTTGGTGGCATAGTAGCACCATTGTAATTAGTTTGGAGGCTCAGTGCGAAGGGGTGTCCATCAAATGGGCAAAAAACCAGAACCAACTTTTCTAGGGTAAAATTTTGCGTAGAATACGATGCCGAGTGGTAATCAGTCCGCCGTTGTGGCGTTTTTGAGGTCAAAGGTCAAATGAGGTCATTTGCACTGAAAGGTTTCCAGAGTAAAGTCCCATTTACACCTCCCCGGTGTTTGACTCTGATGGACATACAGTGAGCAATCCGAGGCCAAAAGTCGGCATGTGTGGCGGTGAGACCGCAGTGACCTGTGTCGAACTGTACGTCGCTATGGTGGCCTTAATGTTTGAAACTACCGGTACGAAAAGTGGCAAAAGAACAATCCTTGGTGGCATAGTAGCACCATTGTAATTAGTTTGGAGGCTCAGTGCGAATGGGTGTCCATCAAATGGGAAAAAACCAGACCCAACTTTTCTAGGGTAAAATTTTGCGTAGAATACGATGCCGAGTGGTAATCAGTCCGCCGTTGTGGCGTTTTTGAGATATTCGGGGTCAAATGGGGTCATTTGCACTGAAAGTGAATGCACAGCCATTCTTGTATCACGAAAACATGCTGAAAATGATCGAAAGTTTAAACCAGCCTTTCAATAAAAATGTTAACTTGCTAAATTCACCTTTGTTCTTTGTGACCTCGGAGGCCAAATGGTCAAATTGTCCGTTTTTGCACTAGGAAGATTTAAAGCAATAAAATGTCAGCGTAAAATATAAAATCTAATGCGAAACCTGTTCTAATTAATAAAAGGAACATTTAAAACTTATCTTTAGGTGGCCTTAGCACCGTAAATTAAGTTTAGAACGTCGAAAAAGATCTTGCATAACAGAACCAAAACACGTCGAAACCTGTTTCAAATGTAGGTAAAAACTGTCAAATCAAAATCTCTCTGATTTAGTTTCACAACGATTGCTATACATAATGAAACTAGTTGAGAGAAAAAAACAATTGAATAGTTTCATGGGCCCGGTTGTTAAACTCGGGAGAACCTGCAACCGTGGCTTATACCAGGAGGTTGTGATATAGGCTTAATGCAGGGCCTAAAATAAGGTTAAATTCTGAGAGCACGGATTTAGAGTCCCCGGAGCCGAGAGGCGCGAAGCGCGCTGGCGGGGGGTCTGGGGGCCTCCCCCCGAAAATTTTGAAAATTGAGAGCTTGAAACCGGCATCTGTGGACTATTCTGGTGCAGTTTACATAGGAATTTATTTTGTCGCGAGCAGCTTTTTTCGCATGAAAACTCAGCACTAGGAAAAAAACACACCACTTTCTTTACGATATAATAATATCTGATCTGTGCAACTGACCACACCACAAGAAGAAACACTCAATTAGGGGTCAGGAGGCATCGCTGACAACACCTTTTTTTTAGAGCACTACACAATTTTTCAGAGCACGGTTTTCTTATTTTCGAAGCACGGATTTTTCATTTCGAGGCACGTTCGTGCTCCAAGGCACGTTATTTTAGGCCCTGGCTTAATGAGCTATATATATATACAAATGATGACAGGATCCATAGTTATTATGTTTGCTATCAGTATCTGTTTCCCGTAGTGTCATGGTCGCCCTTACCTATTTCATCTAACATGCTTCATTTTGGGCAAATTGGTTTCAACTAATCACATC